CTTTTAAAGATCTTTATCTCTGAAATTTTCCCAGAAGATACACGTGTTGGAAATATTATCAATAGTAATTTTGCGAATTGGGCATTCATCTTTGTCTCAAAAACAAACAGAAAGCCAACCTTCAAATAAAATGAATTTGAAAGTTTTATCTCAATAATTTGGGGACATTTTACTTAGAACATAATTATGATTTATGATTGATATTAGTGTTAGGTTTATTTCCACACTTACTGTCATTAATTTGTCATTTACATATTTTTATTTGCTTTGTAGTTTAATCATAACTTCACCATTTACATTTTAATGGAAAGCATCCAAGGTCACATGGAAGCCTCTTGAATTCTGTAACTAACTTATTTTTCTCATGATGAAACTGCTTTGATGAATTTCTGTGTGATGAATTCTGCTATATTTCCTTTTGACTTTTCTCAGTTTGTGACATTCTGTATTAACTTTGCTGCAGCTCTCTAGAAAACTTGCATCCCTATATATTGTGCCTTTAAAGCTCTTATGCACACACAGACAAAAGTGTATATATACATGTCAGAGCATGTGTACATATGCTTTCTTATGTACTCACACAGTATGTCTCCAGTATATATTGTGGGAGTAGATATATAGATATTCAAAGGCAATGAAATATTGCTCTCTAGATATATATGTATATAAATAGTGTTGATATAACTGTATATACACATGTATATGTATGAGTTTTAAATGGCAATCTTTTACATTTAGCAAAATGCTGCCCCTACTGGAATATTGTCACTGCAGTGGCAGTTGTATGTAATGATTTAAAATACATTATCAAAAGTTATTTAAAGAACATTTAAAAGTCTCATCTAAAGACATCACACACTATTTATTTATCTTCCTTTTCCTTTTATTGTTGTATGTTTTTTTTTAACTGAAAGGGAGACTGTCATTTCTAAAATACCATCTGTCCCATGAGAGTAAGAAAGAGCTGGAGATTCACTTGAGGAGCTTTGTCATTTTTCCTCTCTCTGAAGTAGAGATGTACCACAGACCAGACTGTTTATTTCACGTATAAAGCGATCCTAATATTTCCATTCATGTATGTCATCGTCATCCGCCATCTCCTAGATCAACTTAATTCACCAATATGCCTCCTCCTTTCATTAATAAATAATGATTATTGAGATCATTTTGCCTGGGGGAAGCTGACTACTCTCATGCTGCAGGGAAATATATCACCTAACTGTTATTTTGCCTTGTTCGAAATTCAAATCTGAAAGAAGGCAGCTCTCTCATTAAGCTGTCCTAAGCAGTTTTAGTTAAGGGCCTTCCCAAACTTTTTTTTTTTTTTTTTTTTTTTTTGAGAGTTCCAAGTTGCATGTGCTTGAAATAGATTTAATTCTTATTCCCTGCTGTTTCA